TTAGATATTGTTAAAATAAAGCACCTAAGAACGGGGCTGGGGTGGTGGCTCAGTGGTAGAGTGAGTGCCTAGTATGTGTGAGGCCCTGAGTTCAATCTTCAGAACCACATGAAAAAAATAAAATAAAGGTACTGTGTTTATCTACAATTACAAAATAAAATAAAAATAAAAAACCTAAGAACAAATTGAACATTTAATGTCAGTTCTTCTGATCAACATAATTAGAATAAACAAGGATTGTATTTTAGTGCCTTTCTCTTGAGGATTATGTTGTTGAATATATAAAGGAAAATGGAAAACTATCAAAAACATTTTCAATCTGTCCAGTTATTGTTATTTTCAGAGAAGGAGGAAGCCAAAAGAAAATGGTAGTTTCCTTAAAGATCTGGCATTCATTTTCTTAACAGTTTCTTTCTAGAATTCTGAATATGCTTGATTATCCATTAATTTATTCATTTCTCAGTATTTCCTCTTTTATCAGTTATAGGAAAAACAAAACTTCAGGCCCTACCATGAAGTATATCATAGGAATTTGAATGCTACACTGTTTTTAGAAAAGGCAGATATACTTTTTTATTTTTTAGGATGTCTTTTTTTAATATTTATTTTCTGGTTATAAGTGGACACAATATCCTTATTTTATTTTTATGTGGTGTTGAGGATCGAACCCAGTACATCACGAATGCTAGGCAAGCGCTCCACCTCTGAGCCACAATCCCAGCCCCCATATATACTTTTATTTAAACCAGTTCTTTCAGAGAATTTGATCCTATGTAACAGCACATAAAATTAGCACTAGTTGGGCTGGGGATGTGGTTCAAGCGGTAGCGCACTCGCCTGGTATGCGTGCGGCCCGATCCTCAGCACCACATACCAACAAAAGATGTTGTGTCCACTGAGAACTAAAAAATAAATATTAAAAAATAAATAAAATAAAATTAGCACTAGTAGCTGGTGGTGCACGCCTGTAATCCCAGCTACTCGGAGGCTGAGACAGAAGAATCATAAGTTTGAGGCTAGCCTAGGCAACTTAGCAAGACCCTGTCTCAAACTAAAAAAAATTTTTGAAGGGCTGGGGATATGGTTCAGTAGTAAAGTGTCCCTGGGTTCAGCCCCCAGTGGCCTCCCACCAAATTAACACTGGTAAGGACAGAAAGTTATGAAATTTGTCAGATAAATTCAACCAATACATTATTATTTTCAAAATATAAGATTTTTAAATCTAAAATTTTTCTGGTAGCCAGGCGCGATGGTGCATGCCTGTAAACCCAGCAGCTCAGAAGGCTGATGCAGGAGGATCACAAGTTCAAAGCCAGCCTCAGCAACTTAACAAGGCCCTAAAGCAACTTAGGAAGATCCTCCCCCCAAAAATAAATATCAAAAGAAAAAGGACAGGGGATGTGGCTCAGTAGTTAAGCACCTCTGAATCCAATCCCCAGTAAACACCCACCACCCCCCAAAAAAAAATGTCTGGCAGGGCCGCTTTTCTGACAGGTAGCAGGGAGCTCACAGAGACTGCTTTGTCATAGCAATCCTGTGCTTCACTGACTCTTAATCAAAACATACGATTAGAGTCTCAAGATATTTGTACTTCTTTTGTGAAGACTATTCAGTGCTTTGAAGAATTAACAGCTTTGGGCTGGGGATGGAGCTTAGTGGCAGGGCAGGAGCCTGGCATGTACAGGGGCCTGGGTTTAATCCCCAGTATTGGGGAAAAAAATTGCAGCTTTGTGAACCTTTAGTGCTTGTGCTTTAGCCCTCCTTTTC